GTAGCTAATAACAAAACCTACAAAAGCTCTATACATCATTTTGCAGAAAGCTGTTGAAGAAAAAAGTTAGAGGCAAATGAATGTAAATGAATGCACGAAATGAATGCAAATGATTTTCCATGCCTGAGCATGACTGTCGCTATTCCCGGCCACGCCCATCTTTACCATAACTAGGGATAGGGAAGGAAATGTTGATATAGTACTTACTTAACGAGAGGCCACCGACTTAGCGACACCCTCATAAGTGCTACGGAGTTGGAGGGTTGGGTAGGGTATTCAGTTAGGATTCACCTCAAGTTGGCGATGCAACCAAAAGGATGTATTGTTTATTTGTTGTTTATTTAATCTCTCGATAGCCGGCTATCGAAAGAACATATTCATTTTGTTTAGTGATCGTCAATTTTAAGAGTCATGACGGAGAGCTTGGAATTAAACCCATGATTTTCTGCTCAGTAAGCAAAAACGATCCCTCCAGGGTCATCGAGCATCTCAGAACTACAACGCTTCGCGACAATACAGGACTGCGTTTTCGCTTAATATGCAAATAGTTTCCGAGGTTAATGTTCAATATCAAATATACAAATGATGGTGGCGACTTATTGTGCTGTGGAAGAGCTTGGGGTTAAATCAATGATTTTCTGCTCAGTAAGCAAAATCGATCCCTCCAGGGTCATCGGGCATCTCATAATCCACAGCGTTTCGCGTCAAGGTACGAATATATGGATGAACTATCTATTATTGAATAACTATTATTTACGATAATTACATGAAAGAAATAAAATATAAACTACAAACAAAACGTGACTACTAAATCTCAAAAAGATATTCTCACAAATGTATTTCACGCAACCAGGAATCTCAAAACCATTAGACGCTATAATGATACTCTGCACATGTTAGACACAAGAAGAGGCCAAAAAGCAAGCGTCTGACACACAAAACCCGCCAAATCCACTTGCAGTCACAATCAACGATTCTACGAATCGCGAGCGCTCACGAATCATAAAACCGCTGACTGCAACACTCTGAAAGCGAAATTGATAAGCTCTATGCGTCAAACACCCGCCCTTCAATCCCCTCCCGCATCCATTAACACAAATCTCCATTACAACATCTAACGAATTCAAAACTCTGAAAATCACGCATCTATAGCAAGTGAGTGGAAGCAACCCTGCATGCAACCATTCTTCACTTTTTCTGCCTATCTTTCTATTAGGCCAAACTGGGAAAATTTTCAGATCACAAAAAAAAACTTGAAAAAAACTTTCAAAGGTAATTACAAGTAAAATAAATATTGATTATTTTACGCAAAAACGAGCAAGTAATATTAAACCTCTTGTATCGTATGCTAATGCTAATTGACTGTAACAAAAATAATATGCTTAAAAAATAAAATATGTGCAAAATTTACTAGAAGATCATTATTTTATTGGTGAGAAGTTTCTAATAAGCCCTCCCAGTTCCTCTGTATACAGAACAAATCTGATTTTATAATCAGATATTGCTCAGTCTGCATGAAGCAGCCGATTTCATCAAGGAAGTTCTATTAACAACCAAGAATTAATCGTTTGAGGTATACTGAAGCATTAAGAAGGTGATATGGTTTTTTTAGGTCCCCCTACCCCCTGATGGGGGTAAGAAGACCATACGGGGCGAGATGGGCCACCGTTCGTTTCGGCATAATACCTATTAACTCTATCTAGTTTTTCTACAAACTTGACTTCTACACCGAGGCAAAAGAACGTAAGAATTCCATAAGAACCACTTATGAATTTTAGCCTTATGAAAAATAATGTCGACAAAAAAAAATAATAAAATAGATATAGTTGAAGATGCTAATTTCAAATAACAGACTGTAGTGGTAATTTGTATACGATAGATGAAGTAGATGAAAGTATAGGGTTGATAGTTCCGTTAGAGTACGGCAGTGTGAAAAATTGCATATAGATAGTAGAATAGCGAGCTATACTTTCATCTACTCCATCTATCGTATAAAAATTACCACTACAGTCTGTTATTTGAAATTAGCATCTTCAACTGTGTAAATCGTTGACTTCACGCAGAAGTAATACTAAACATATAATAAAATGGAGCAGACTGGAACCGAACCATGGACGTTGAGATTACGGGTCCTAGGTCTGGACTAAAGGGTGATACGGTCAAAATTTGGTCAAGGGAAAACGCGTGTAAATCGGTGAAATCATTTATTTAAAAAATCAAATTAAATTTCTTTTTCAAGTTCAATTAGTATAAAATTCAGGAAAAATATTCAGTTAGGCTTCCGCTTTTCCAAATCCGAATTGCCGGGCCTTACGCCATGTGCTTGAAAACATCTGCTACCTTTCCCCTTCCTTTTGCCGTATAAAACTCCTGTCCCGGAAGCTGCTTGTAGTCGGCTTTGACGTAGGTTTCGTCGTCCATTACCACGCAGTCAAACTTCGTCAGCATCGTCGTGTACAGCCTCCGGGATCGCGCTTTGGCCGTCGTATTTTGTTTATCATCGCGATTTGGAGTCACTACCTTCTTGTAAGTCGATAGTCCGGCTCGTTTTTTGGCTCGATGCACGGTTGTAGACGATACACCCAGCTTATTTGCGGCATCTCGGAGAGAGAGAGGTTAGGGTTTCGCTTGAAACTACCGGCAACTCTCTTTGTCGTCTCAGCGGCTTCCGGTTTTCGATTTCCCCCCGATCCAGACATCCTGGCTGTCGACAAACGTTCCCCAAACACTTTAATTACATTTGTAACGGTTGATTTGGCAACTTTTAGCGATTTTGCCAACTTTGCGTGCGAGTAGCTCGGATTTTCGCGATGCGCGAGCAAAATTTTGATACGCTGCTCTTCTTGCTTGGACGGCATTTTGACAACTGAAGAGTGAATTCCAAAATCAAAATAGGAGCAACATTCTACACACACACACCTTCAAAATGAGGGGTGTTCAGGTTTTTTAAATGCAAAATTGAAAGAAATACGTCAAGTTGATATTGACCAAATTTTGACCGTATCACCCTTTACTCGTCTGTCGACGCTTGGGTAAATGGAATGGCTAAAGGCGTATAACAGCTACCTTATGTTAGACGAAAATCTTTCATAAGTCGCGCTTATGAAATTCTTAAGTCTATTTACCTCAGTGTAATATGCATCACCATGAAAATCGTATCAAAATACAATTACATGTCTAAGATAATAATGGAAGTAACATTAGCTCAAAATCTCTAGAATATTGTTATGTTATGTTGGATGTTATAACTCTGTAGTCTGAACGTACTAATACACGTAACTGTTGCTAAAAGAACTTATGTTTCTATTTCACATGATTCCTGAATGTTATTTTCTAGTGAAAACCTGTCAAAACGTTAACTTTTACTAGGGTGCTCATATTGCCCCGGATGGTTGTTGATCGGAGCAAAAACTGAAATTTTTCAAACATAATAATTTATTGAGTCCATCATATTTTATCCATATTTTGAACATTGTATATTATCAAACATATTCCAAAGCATGAGCATGAACACAGCTATCATACATTTATGAATGTTTTTCATGTGTTATGATGTGTTTTTCTTAGGAGGACCATATTGCCCCTATCTACCCCACAAATCCCTTTTGCCGAATTGTATTTTGTTTTCTCCGCCTATCTCACCCTCTGAGTATTTCTAGTTTTTAGGTGCCCATGTGACCTGATGTAGAATGGCAGATCTGTTAATTTCCAAAATTTAAATAAATTGAAAAATAAAAATGTCAGGATAATCCGAGTCGCAGCACTAATCACAAGTCATCAACATTCCTGCTAATTACTTTTTTGCGATATGAGCACCGACGAACCGACATGCTACTGGGGCATTTCGTTTGTCCGCAATTCGATTTGTCAAATGAGCGATTTGAGCTGTCCAACGGGCGATCAGAAATGTCAAACAAGGTGAGACGCAAACCAATTCAATAAAAATTGTACGTGTGTTCGTGTCCTTGCTCACGATATCACGCGATCAGATGAGTAGCAAGTATTTGAATGTAGCTTTTATGAGCTGTGCCAGTGGTGGTTTGTCGGTGTTGTCAATGCGATTCGTTTCGACAGCTGAGCGATCTGCTGTCCTTGCTTAGCCATTTCCTTCCTAAGCTCAGCGTGTGAGATTTCCTGTCTCTCGGTGATATAATGAATCGCATTACCGAACGACAAGACGGCAGTTTTGAACCGAAATCTTGCGAAATAAGAGTTTGTGTAGCTGCGCCTTCTTTACAGCCAAAACTTGAATTTTTTTTCCACCAAATTGTAGTCCTAACTAATCCAAGAAACTTCAATGAAAACTTCAACTGAAATGGATGGAATCCCAGAGCGTTATTTTTTGTTTCCTGATAGATTTCATTGTGCACTGGTGACAGAGAGGCACAGTATGGGATTTCAGATTTTATGCTTAAATTTCGTTGAATATTTTAAACAAATGGAATTTCTCATATTTCTACTCAACGCATAACATGGCTTAGTTATTTTGATAATAAATGCATATATTAATTTACTAAGACACAAAAAAAAATAAAGTACGTAGATATTATAAATAACCCACAAAATATATGAGATTCAAATCGAAAAAACTCAGTCGTTCAAAAAAATACCGAAAGTTCATTATAAGATTTGGGTTAGCGACTGGAAGTCAATTTTTATTTGTTATATGCGACAGTTAGAAGATACTGAGAGGTTAGCACATATCATCGGCAAGAGACGTGCGTGTGAGAAAATTTGCGAAAAAATCTAAGGGCACCGGTGGGATTCGAACCCACAATTCCCATTCAGTACACGGGTGCATTGCCAATTATACAACGGTGGACCTATGGTCTACGGATGTATTTGGCTAATGACATATGAGTTTCGAATCCGTTTCCCTCCCTTAGTCTTTTTGCGCAAGCGTTCTCAATACACAACAATCGTCTATTACCAACGATATGTGCTTGTACCGCAACCACTCAGTATCGGTCGATGTGAACAAACACAAGTGTATAATAAATAAACCAACAGACTTACCCACGTTCACCTTTTGTAGTAGGAAGCCGGTAGCTGAAAACTGACCTGCTTCTTGTTCCCAGTAGCAATAGCTCTTGTACCGCTTGGCCCCGCCCGAGTGGATGTATCTTGCATCTTGAAGGAGTTATTCTCATCGTTAGATTCGATGTTCAAAGCCCTTCGATTCTGATAGTCCACATTCGACGTAGACCTCGGTCTGTTCGTTACAAGCGAAGCGTCCTGCCAGGAGCGCCGATTTGCCTTCAAACAATCCATATGACGAAACGGCCACAGGTTGGTTCGTGCCTTTGGTGATTTGGTGGGACTAGCAGTTTTGCGACGCAGCAACCAAAGGTAGTCATCCTCCGGTTCCATCTTTTGGATATGCTTTTTGCTGGAAGTGAAAAAAAAAACATCCCACTTTGATAATTTTCTAAACCTCAATAGGATAATTTCTTATTAACTCACCGCATGGGCTTCCTATTGCTGGACAATTTTCGCAGGGTTTTTCTGCACTGCACATGCAGCTCTACAGCCTCCCGAATGGCCTGGAACCAGCTACGACAATCCACGGGATTATCTGCCGTGAAAATCGTTCCATCGCCACTGCAAGCTATTTTGAAATTTCCACTGAACAGTTCCATCACCTTGCACTTTTTAAGCGGGAAAATGCAACAACATTCCAACCCATTTTCCGAAAACAAATGATCCTGGTCCTTCAACATCCGACAGTAGACGAACATGTCGGACATCAGGATGCAATACTTCTTGGAAGTCGTGCCGTCCGTTTTCTGCTTCCGAAGGATACCTTCTTTCAAAATCTTCCTCGCCGGCTTCACAATCTTCAGCGACTTGTTGGTCAACGCGTTCTGAATCGTAATAAGTCTTTGAGTGTTCTCGTAATCCTCTACCACTGAGTTGATGTGCGACACGGATTGCTCTACCAGTTTTATCGATTCCTGCAGCTGTTTGTACGAACCATCACATGGGCTGGTATAGAGCAGAACCTGCTGCAGCAACAGCTTGTAGCGGGGAATTCGCTGAATCGGCGTTATCAACAGTGAAATCAGCTTCGTCTGAACCTCCGGTCTCGATTCCGAGTTGGCTATGAATCGCTTCAAAGCAGGATTCTTCTGTATCAACGTCTGCAGTGAAAAAAGCGAATTTCGATAGTCAAATGCATACACAGAATAAAGCTTGAAGAACGGTCCCAGATTCATGAACGCACGTACTACGTTGTCCAGGTCGTCGTCCAACTTTTTGAGCAGTTCCTGGCTGAGATTATAGATCGTTTCCAGCTGCCCGAAGATTTGGGAATGCTCGCGAACTTGAATGAGCCCGTTCGTTTTCAAAGGAGCCACAAAATAGTTTATCAGCAAATCCAACTGTTTGAGAAAGGAAATCTCCGAAGTTCTGATTTCCTGAATCGCTTGCAGGCGAAGTTGGTCTCGTTTGTCATCTTCGTTACTAGCGCCCGGAGTAGCTGGACTGGCCGGTAGCGACGGCGTGGGTGCAAACCTCTTGAAATCTAAAAAAAAAAAATCAGCATTAATATGTTACTATCCTGATAAAGGGTTTATCCACCAGGATTATATTTGAATAAATAAATTACAATTACAATGAAGTAATCATAAAAATAATGCAACTTTGAAATCCAGTCCTACTAACTTCTAACGGATCGTACGCGATTTTGATGTACGTTCTGCGATTTGAGAGCGGATATGAGTTCGCTTCTCATGTCCTCCGGCATCAACGGTTTGAGCATTTTTTGGTTCAAATAGTCCGATTTATCCATGGTTTCACATTGACGTGTAAAGGTTTCAGAAAAAAATAAATATTATGTATCAATAAAATTTTTATTGATCAGACTGTGAAACAAGATGTAAATAAAAATAACGACGGAATCTGTCAAAATTACAAAATCAGCGCCTTGGATAGGGCTACCAAATGAGTATATAAATTCACCATGGTGAGGTGAATTTTCCACTGCCCAGCGTGTTTAAAAGGTTTTTCTAGCGAACATATGAAAAAAGCGCCTGATGGGGTTTCTGTCGATATTGAAGGCTCAAACGCTATTGACGAGTGCACAGATGGATTTGAGTTCACTCACTCGACAAAAAGTGACACAACAGCGGGGCCCTGTTTACTAAAAATGAACACATATATGTTCATTTTCAGTAAACAGGGCCCCGCTGTTGTGTCACTTTTTGTCGAGTGAGTGAACTCAAATTCATCCGTGCACTCGTCAATGTGGGCGGAAGCGGAACGGAAACGGAAAGCATGACAGTTGTCACAAATGACATCAAGATGCCTAACCGAAGTCGATTTGGTTCTAACTAGTTTTCAATCCGACAAGTCGGCTCACTCAGATCGGGCTTTTCCGCTGCCGCTGCCGTTCCGCTTCCGCCAAAGATGAATACTAAGATGAAACTGTCGGAAGAAAAACTTTCAATTTTAGTGTCCTCTTTCACGGTCCCTTTCATCCAATGAATACCCCCAGTATGCAAGATAATTTAGTGGTTTAGCTTCCCCCTCGGCAGAGATGAAATTTTGTGCGCTTTTTTATCAAAACAATCACACCAAAATCAGAGATGTCCCATTTTTTAATTACTCGATTAACAACTCATCGAATATTTTTTGTTCGCTGTCCTGTCATTTTTCCAGCAATGAGAGTGCAAAACTTGTTTGAAACGATCGGTAATGATCCTCTGAAGAAGTTAATGCTTATATCGGCATGATATAACCGATTACAAATATTTTACTGTTCGGTTCGTTAATCGATTAATCGATTATTCGAATGAAAATCGGCCATCACTAGATGAATGTGAAACGTTATCTCGTACTACTCCTACCCTATCAGGCATAACATTTGAAAACGGCACAAAAGCATTTGTAAACAAACTTTCTAAGGCCCTTTACACGCGAACCAAAGTACGCCCACGCAAACCAACAACATCATCGGATAGGGGCAACTATCACCTTTCCGAAAGTGGTATTGGTTTGCGTGGGCGTACTTTGGTTCGCGTGTAAAGGGCCTTAGGAAGTTTGTTTTCAAATGCTTTTGTGCCCTTATCAAATGTTATGCCTGCTATGTAATAATTCGTAACAATATAGGTGCCTCCCTCTCCCCCTATAAGCGTTACGTAATTTATGAACACTTCATGCAGCAGATTTTTCTTCTTTTTACACCTATCCTCTTCGCGTTCAGACTCGTATCCCTCTGAAACTTTTTAACACCCCTCACATCACATCCATTGCCTGATCTATTCCCATCTATTTTTTCTATCCCTGCTCTTTTTTTGTCAACACGACACACTTAAAAAAATCCCATCAATTATGTTTTCCCCCTAAAATCCCAAGTAATTACTAGACTGAAAAAATACATCCAAATGAGTGTCGTTCCCCCTGCTCTGCGTAACTCTTCTATTATCAACTCTGGTTATTACATTTTTGTAATCTGCAGGTCAAATGGAACCGAAATTCAAAATTTCATCAATTTTGGAACAGTGGAACTATTTTAAAATAGTGATTACAATAGCAACAATCACCAACTTAGCGTCCCTAGGATGTACCATAGAGCTAACTCTAAAGGCCCAAGCGCAATGACGGCGGAAGCGGAACGGCAACGGCAGCGGAAAAGCCCGATCTGAGTAAGCCTACTTGTCGGATTGATAACTAGTTAGATCCAAATCGACTTCGGTTAGGCATCTTGATGTCATTAGTGACAACTGTCAAACTTTCCGTTTCCGTTCCGCTTCCGCCCTTATTGCGTTTGGACCTTAAGACCAGAAGGTCCCGAAGAAACGTGCTTTTTGGCTCAGCTCTGGTACTCTCTTCGATCTCAAATTAATCGATGCACCCCTCGAAACATAGGAAAATCCACGCACCCCTAATTTTATCTGTCAAACTTTCATTGCGAATCAAAACAAACATTGTGCAGTACTAGAACTTCGACTAGAATGGAATACGCTAATCGATTTGCTTGGGACCAATAGGCTACACGGATAGAAATCTCCTTATACCTTTTGGCAAATTTATATTGCTGATTATTCATAAAATGTATAAGTCAACTAATAAGCAGACGCCTTGCAAAAAGTTTATGAAGATCATGTGTCAAATGAAATGTATAAGCGATCACACAAACCTTTTATGCATTCTTATAGGACCTATATGGTTTGTCTTATGGAATTGATAAGGCTGATGTTTGGCAAAAATGTATAAGTGAAACACATTGATTGATCACATAATTGATTTTCGTTTCGTGTACCTGCATAAATGCGAACCATTGCTTGACCTTACCAAAAATTGTTAAAAATTGTTTATAATCCCTGCTAAACTTTAACTGAAATGGTTATGGAACTTTACATGAATGCTTGTGTGATATAGATTCAACCGTATGTTTTAAGGTTTTTTCTAGGGTTTTTTGGAAGTGCACCTTACAAAAAATGGGTTGTTAAGAACCATTACCATTCTAAATTCTTGTTTTCTTCATACATTTTTGGGAAAGGAATTATATTGGAACCATTTTATTTATGATTTCAGAACTTTAATAGTAATGGTTATAGTAGTCGGTAAGGTTCATAGATGGTTTTGTAAAATCCATCAACTTTATGTGGAATATATCACGAATTGGTTGCCTGTAAATTACTGATTACCAATTCACGATATATTCCACGTAAAGTTGATCATTGGATGTATTCTGATGTTTTATGCGTGCAACATATTACATCGTGATGAAGTTTGATTCTAATGTAACGTTAGGTTCTGTTGTCGTTGGATGTATTCTGATGTCAAATTTTACATCGTCAAGACGTTTGATTCTGATGTAACGTTTGAGGCTAATGTATTTTTATGTACTTGGACGTCACACTGAAGTCTGAATACATTAAGGGTACAGCAATATACGTTAAAATTTAATGTATTGAAGATGTCTGCTGATGTTTCCTACATTACAATTTCTATTCGGGGACCGATAATACAAAACCATTAATGGACCTTACTGGCTACCATAACCATCATCATTAAAAGTTTTCAAACCATAAGTAAAAAGTTTCTAATATAGTCCTCTCTCCGAAAATACATGGAGAAAACAACTGTTTTGAATGGTAATGGGTCTTAACAACCCATTATTTGAAAGGTTATTCACTTCCACAGATATACATTTTGCCAACATTTCAAAGGGGCGTAATTGCTTTTGTAAACAATGGCTTTAACCATCGATTTCTCGCAAATAAAAGTTCACTCCTCCAAATTAACAATGCTAGCTGGTACACAGCAAAAAAAAATGTAATATCGATCAATGTAATTCAAGCTGATGTATGAAATTATGATGTAATAGCAAATAGCAGATACAATATTACATCAATGGATGTAATTTTGTTCGCAAAATCGATGTACATCGTACAACGTTATATTACACAACCGATGGATTGACCTGGTTGCAGCAGTTTGGATGTAATATTCAACAACTTTTTTTTCTGTGTAGAGGAAACATTCCTCTACCTGTTGGTTTAATTTTCTGATCATTCTACACAGCAAAAAAAGTTGTTGAATATTACATCGAAACTGCTGCAACCAGGTCAATCCATCGGTTGTGTAATATCACATTGTACGATGTACATCGATTATGTGAACAAAATTACATCCATTGATGTAATATTGTATCTGCTTTTTGCTATTACATCATTATTTCATACATCAGCTTGAATTACGTTGATCGATATTACATTTTTTTTGCTGTGTAATGTAAAACAAGAAATCTATGTCCAAACCAGTTTGTTGCACCCACTGGGTCAACCTACGAACCCAAACAAACGCATTTTCCGACGAGCCAGTCACCAACTGACAGCTGTCAAAAGATAACTCACCACTCTTACCGGAAACAGTTACCAAAACGTCATCGTCCGTTCGCTGTCATCTGTCCTGCGTTCTTTTTCCGGTAAACTTGGTTGCTGTCGAACACATTTCTGTGGTAGCAGCGTAAAGTTTCTCCCTCTTTCATCCACAATGGTCGTAAGTGTTTGGTTGTGTTTTGTGCCAGAGCGTAGCCGTGCATTCGCTGGTCATGGAGAATATAAATTTGTGCTAATTCCGGTGTGATTATTCCGAATCTTGGGACGAGTCTGGTTTCTGGATGAAGAATAGTGCGAGTTTGACGTTTGCTAGTTTAGGAGTTACCTTCGCGACCAGCCTTTGCAGCACTGTTTACAATGTTGGCGTTGTGCGCGATCCGTTCTAATATTCTCCAATTTCTTTGTTCCGCATCAGAATCTACGCCAGAGAAAGAAGACCAGGAAGCTACGTGGTCATGTCAGCCACGGTCACGGCCGTATCGGTAAGTTCGGGTGTTTACTATATTGTTATGTTTACTGTGCTATTAGGTTATGTGTAGCTGAAAACACTTTCACGTCTTCCTCCAGGCAAGCACCGTAAGCATCCTGGTGGTCGCGGTAACGCTGGTGGCATGCACCACCACCGCATCAACTACGACAAATACCATCCTGGATACTTCGGTAAGGTCGGTATGAGGAATTTCCACCTGAACCGCAACCACAAGTACTGCCCCACGATCAACCTGACCAAGCTGTGGTCCCTGGTCGGAGAGGACAAGCGTATCGAGTGCAAGAAGGATCAGACCAAGGTGCCAGTGGTCGATCTAGTGAAATTCGTAAGTGTCCTTTTCCATTTTCTCAGAACGTTAATCGTGGTGAAAGTTTTTAATGATGATTTCGATGTACGGGCGGTCAGAATGCATACAGTGTACTTTTTAATGCAATAATCCTGTTGATTGTACATTTCTGAAAAACTATTTAAATCCACGATTTGTGAGAAGTTGATTTCCGGAGAGTTAGTCTAATGCCATGTATT